ACTTGAAATATAACCAAAGCCTCCTCTCAAGCTACAGAGTTATATTTTCATACTGTATGCATATGGACAAATAAAGGGCTGTGTTTTTCTGTCCTAAATACAAAGCAGTTGAGTCTCCAGAGGCTTACCTATGGCTCTTCTTTGTGAAGCCTGAGTTAGGCCAGAGGATTGTGCCAGACTGGGTGTCTCTGTGGTCCCTGTGACAGAGGCAGGATGAGATAAACCCACAGAGGACACGTCTGAAGAATATGTTGACCCATCTGCTGTGGAGCTTGGAGTGATGGAGCATTTGACCAATAGCTCAGAAGACAGCTGAGAGGATGTTGTCTCTGTACTGGATGAAAAAATGACCCTTTAGTAATTTGTCAGGAAAACAATCTTTAAAACCAGATCAAAGCATACACTGGTCTTTTCGCCTGCTAAATACACGACAGCAGGATCTTATATGGGGACAAGTCATATTAATGTTAACCTGGAGAATGATATCCCAACCTCTTCCTCGTTCTAAAGCGGACAAAGTCCTAACTGAGCAATACTGCATCACAACACAGCCAAGAAATCTATCTTCAGCCCTGAGCAATATGCTTGTACCGTCTAATGTGTCTCTGTCCTGGGCTGATTATTTGTCGCATCCTACCATCTGAGCAGGTCCGTATCTGTCACAAGACCTTTGCATTCTTGTAGGCTACCTAAGCTGCCAGGTTGTGCTGGATTTTGACTGAAATCTGTAACTCTGATTCTCTTCTTCACGCTACCATGGGCAGAAGCAGACAAGTTTTGAGCATGTAGTGCCTGCTCCCTGGGCCAGATGAACCTAAGCCAGTTCCCATCTGGAAGCCATCTTGCCAAGTCAGCACAGTACTATGTCCTAACTAAAATACTCACTTATCATAACACAGCTATGCAGGTTTTGGACCAGAGCTGGCTTATATCCATCCTGCTGGGAGCACAGACAGAGGGATTTGGATTTCTCTGCACTTCTTTTTAACGTAGACATGCTTCTAGGTGCCAAATGTGTGGACTGCTCCCTTAGAAGGATGAGCAGACAGTGGTTCAAGAGGCTCCTGATAATTTGCCAGTGCAGCTAGCCCACAGGACCATGGGGTTTGCAAAGATCTTCCACCATGATCTTACAAGAATTGCTGAGTTCCCCATATTAAGTCCTTCAGAAAAGAGTCTTTGTCCTTCTCTTGAAGTTAAATAATTACATGTTTCATTTTATGTCATTCAGAGGACCCTGCATAATTCCTTACTGCGGCACTGAGAGTTGCTGCTGCAGAGTCAGGACAGCAGGAGAGGTTCAGGGAAGGGAGGAGATGAAGCATTGTGTTGTCCCTCATCCAGCCTTGCCTCATGGGACAGGACGTGGGGGCTCTTCCAATAGCCTAATAAGGGTGTGAGCTGCATGTCTTGTGAGGATAGTATGCTGCCCAAGCAAGAGTTACTGTTCTCTGAAGCATAATTTCTCTGTTCCACTCAAGGCATCAGTCCTTTGCATCACCTCTCTGATGGGCTATGCCATTGCAACTCCACGAGTCCTATGCGGCCATTGAAAACCTGAAGGCATTTAACTATCAGACACAAGTAAGTTAACTTAAGCACTTTTTTAAGGAATGTATGTGATTAAAGACAATGTGCCTGTAAATGCAGAGGCACCCCCTGCACACAAACAGCAACCGGCACTCTCAGGTCTTCCCTTGGATCTACCCTATGAAACAGGATAGCAGAAAAAGCGACACAGTTCGTATGATACTGACATGTATAGGACTTTTTTAATTAGCAAACTCAAAGGTTAGCAGCATCTCTTGAAAACCTCACAGAAAGAAAAAGTGTGTGTGTATTCATCCTTGTAAATGTTCCCAAGAACACTATTTTTGGTCATGGCGACACAGCTGAGGCTGACTGTATACAAGCTGCAACTTTTAGGCCACGTTGGCAGGACAAGAGTTTCCTTCCCAAGCATCTGACTTTCACCTGGGTGGATACAGTTGGTCAGGCTACTTATTTTATGAACTCCATCTGCATGTATGTACCTATGCCTCTCTGTGTGGGCAGTGTCATGGTTTAACCCCAGCCAGCAACTAAGCACCACACAGCTGCTCGCTCACTCCCCCATGGTGGGATGGGGGAGAGAATCAGAAGGGTAAAAGTGAGAAAACTTGTGGGTTGAGATAAAGACAGTTTAATAGGTAAAGTTGCACAAACAAACAAAGCAAAGCAAGGAATTCATTCCCCACTTCCCATGGGCAGGCAGGTGTTCAGCCATCTCCAGGAAAGCAGGGCTCCATCGTGGGTAACAGTTACTGGGGAAGACAAATGCCGTAACTCCAAATGTCCCCCACTTCCTTCTTCTTTCCCCAGCTTTTTGTTGCTGAGCATGATGTTATATGGTATGGAATATCCCTTTGGTCGTCAGCTGTCCCAGCTGTGTCCCCTCCCAACTCCTTGTGCACCCCCAGCCTCTTCGCTGGTGGGGTGGTGTGAGAAGCAGAAAAGGCCTTGGCTCTGTGTAAGCACTGCTCAGGAGTAACAAAAACATCTCTATCATCAACACTGTTTTCAGCACAAATGCAAACCATAGCTCCATACTAACTACTATGAAGAAAATTAACTCTATCCCAGCCAAAACCAGCACAGGTGGGTAGGGCTGAGTTTTTGCTGTACATTGAAGAATTTAAAAATTAATTACCTCCTGCTTCCAGCTACGTGGTGGTACAAGTCCAGAGCAATTTCAATAACTTCAGTGAAATTACTGTGGATTTACACAGGTGTCAGTGAGAACACAGCTGAGCCCAGAGCAAAGCTCTTCTAAGCATCAGCTCGTAGAAAACATCCACAGAGACTGGCAACCTGATTCTAATACCGAACAAAAACCCTGCTTGTGTAATGGCTGTCATCCACAAGCATTGTGCATGAAGTTATATTACGAATTCTAAAATACAGATAAATTAGTTGCAGTCTTCATACTGGACAGAACAAGAGGATGTTAAAATCTCCACCCACCCCATTGCTTAGAGTACAAAGCTCAATGCCTGCACTACGTGTTGTGATTAAACACAGGAGTGGACCAAAGTCTCCCTGTGCTAGAGGTGGCAGCTAATGACAGCAGTAGTACTGGGGATGACACATCACAACCAAAACCACTCAAATTTGTTTTCTACATAAATCTCTGCAGGTTCCAGTCAGAAAGGCAAAGATGAGCCTGCACTGATTAAAGAGGCTGGGGAGCTCTTTAGTTTATCAACTAGCAAATGGCTCCAGCAGACAGAAAAGCATAAGCTTTATGGCTTGCTTTATATAATACATAAATTATATTTATAATATGTTAATTATATTGTTATGCTATATTACATTATGGTATATTGTCATGCTATATTACATTATGTTATATTGTCTTTTTTATTTTATGATTTTATGTGTGTATGCATACAGATATCTCTATAGATATATGTCTGTGAACAAATAAACGGTCAGCAAGATTCAGCAGGCAATGTGCTGCTGCATGAAATCAACAAGTTATGTCAGCGTAAAACACACCATTTGTGACAGGGAAATCAGATCACTGAAGCAGGTTTATATTTGAGAATTTGCTCCTTGCTTCTTTAGGCTCTCTAATCAAAAGAGCTCAGATGGGCCTATGTTTACTAATGTATACACAGCCCTTACATTTTCCTTCAAGTTATCCATTCCTTCAACAGGACCTTTAATTTTGTGGGGTTTGACACCACAGCTGGTTGGTGAATCCCCTTCCCACCAGTTTGCAGATCTCAAGATCTATAGTTTGCAGATCTCAAGAACATGCAGTTTCGAACTGCAGGGAGTAGCAAGAGAACTGCACAAGTGAAAGTCTACTGCAGGAACCTGCACCACAGTTCAGCTACTGACTGCTGGGTGGAACCTGAGTAAACAGTTCTTGTTAAGAGGATAGAGAAAGCAGAATGAAAATTGGCGTGGTCATTTCAGTAATTTCTCTCACAACTGTTCTGCCTTTTTCAGACACAGCCCCTCCAGCAGGTGCTTGTGGCTGTCTTGCTTTGCTCCAAGAGAAGGAAGCAGTCGTCTTTAGTGTTATATGTGCAGGGAACAAAATAAAGTGATAAGGACCTGGGTTAGGAGGTTGGGTATGAGCTTGAGCAGTGCCAGGTGACGGTTCCCACTCCCAGAGTCTACTTGGAGAGGTAAAGGGCTCAGAGGTATTCTGTCAGGAGTAGCTCAAACAGAGATGGGGTGAGGTTGGGTTGGCAAGTCTACATAGGCTGCTTTGCCTTGGGTGAGTCTCCATGCCTCCCAAAGAAAGGATTTCTGGTAATTCAGCATGCAGTGGACTGGAATTTGGCTTGGAAGAATAGAAGGAAGAAGCTAAGAGGGCTGGCTGGGGCCTTCTGGGCTTTACAAAACTACTTCCCCCAAAGGGAACAGGTATTAACAAAGGTCCCGCAAAGTGGAGCCTGTTTAACTGAGTGGGGAAGGGAAACAGAGCATGGCAAAGATTAAGAATGAGAGTACACATAGTACTGGAATTAAAATTGCTGGACCTGGGCAAGTTGGAAGCCTGCAAAAATGGGATCCAATGCAAGCTCTACCACGTAGGCTCATGGGTACTTCTGAAATAAACACAAACAAAATAGCCAATAGCATGTGTACACCATGCTCTGCTCAGGGAGTTCAGACAGGGTAATAACAGGGCTCTCCAGAAAGGAAGAACTAGTAGGAACTTGGGAAGCAAAATTGTATCTAGCACTTGTGGGTTTTCAGTGGCTTTTTGAACAACACGACAAGGAAACACTGCTATATTCTTTCAGTGATGCCTTTACAAACCTGATACTCTTTTTCCTGAGGTAAAGGACTAATTAGTTGTGAGGGGTGGTGGCACAGGCCTTTCTCGTTCTACTCTAAAACAACAAATCTGGGGTGTCACTATTCAAATATAGTTTTAAGAGAGATGTACAACAAAACAGGAAATAGGGTAAGCAGTGATTTTTTTCAGTTAACTCTCCCACCTGTTTGCTCCTCCAGGCACATCTCTGGGTGACTTGATTTCACTTTCCAGGAAGACATTATTCTCCTGAACCTCCATCAGTGCTTCCTTCTTAGCAAGATGTTGCACCTCCTAAGAAAACAATCACACAAAATCAGAGGGAAAATGCTTTCGAAGCTTGTGATCGTCACACTAGCTAGCTTAACATGGACTTTGGATCTGAAAAACAAAAACTTCATTCATGTTTTGATCGTTGTGCCAAAGGATCTTCAAATGTTTTATAAGTCTGGCTACCTATAATCTTGATTGTATGAGCCAAACAGGATGGCGTCCCTGTGAATTGCAGTCTTTCAAAAGTGGTTCTACATTCATTAAATCTTAAAATTCAGCTGTTTGACATTAGTTTCTCAGGTAAGTGTGTGTCTGTATTTGTCATTTAAGTAATGGTAAGATTATTTACAATGAATAGTTACTATAGTTAAACACAAGGAAGATAAATAGAGCCAATGTTTTGGATCTAACTTGATTGTACTGGGTAGGAAGTTGTCTCATATGTACATACACACAGGAAAGAATTTCCTAAAAATAACCATATAGCGGTGCGCACTTTAAATACAAAACAGAAAAACAGCAACCCCAAATCCTACCAACACAAACCGACCTCTCGGCTGTCAGACAGGAAATAGCTGGAACAACAGACATCTCCACGCATACAACAGTTACACCACTCTTCTGGAAGCTGCTCCCCACAGGACAGTGGGAGTCAGGTACGCCATCTCAAACACACCCAAACATGCACTGTGTGTTGCACTAAACAACTGGACAGAATGTGCTATAGAATGTATAGACATCTCTCAACAAGTTACGCGCTGACCACTTCTGAAGAAGGTTAATACTGCTGCTCTTAGTGGGTAACAATGTAAAGCCAGGCACATGCAATTGCATTGGGAAAAAAGGTTCCTTGGGCTCCTGGGAAATTACTGCTCTGCATTACCGAGCAGGGAGAGCAGCATGAGGCGGTCTCTGCGCAGCACATAGAATCATAGAGTCATTTAGGTTGGAAAAGACCCTTAAGACCATCAAGCCTAACCATAAGCATATAACCCTCCTGACACAGCACAGGTCAGGAAGCCGTTTACCTCTCCTCAGGCAGGGCCAATAAATCCCAGGGTCAGCTGGGACAATGGGCAATGGGCGTCAATCCAAAAAATACACCACGGAGCTTTACCATGGACAGGACTCTGGAAGCCACAACAACCATTACCCCAAATTATCATCTGATGTGCAGGAATAATTTGCTCACCAAGTGGTTTGACTTTCTTTAGTCTCTGTATAGAAGGCAATAGTCTCATAATCTGCAAGTGAATTGAGCTACTTCTTAGCTCGAGTAGGGCAGACAGGTCAGCGCCCTGTTGCTGAGCATCACACTTCCAGTGTCATCGTTTTTCTTTTCCATGAGAAAAACTTCCAAAATGTTATTACAGTGACATCCCAGATGATTTGTGCAATCAGTAACATGAACTATAGTTTCAAACATTAAGAGACTCCATATTAATTATGTACACATAGTACATGGTGGTTGAAACACTTCTGGAAAACAAATCTTAAATCAGACTTGTTTGTATAGCCCCAGGAGATCTCATCATTCTCCAGAATAAATGAGTAGGTCTACTGACATCTATTTGGTTTGATCGCTGCCAGATCAGTACGTCTGATCTAAATTTGGGAGCACAAGCTCTGCAGTATAAATATTTTGGAAGAAAGAACAACCATCTCAATGCTAAAATAATACAACTTTGGTCTGGGTTGAGAGACTAATAAAGGAAATTTTGCAACATAAAGTCCAATAGTGCCACAATACACTTATAAACAGAACTAGTCTGGGTTAAAAGACTTATCCCAAATGCTAAACAAATACTTTTTCACATATAAACAGGGACAAGAAATAAATGTGGGGAGTCACGATTTCCACTTCAAGGAAAAATGATCTAGCTAGCTAATGTAAAGAAAGCGTTGCCTTTGCTCTGATTGGCACGATGCCATTTATGACCTCATTTAAAAAAAAATTTAAAAATATAGACTATTGTTCATACATTTCTGAGTCATGGAGATAAACCAAATGAAGTTAACTGGGGTAGCCTCTAGAAGAGCCAAAGCCAAGCACGTCTCCAGCTTTTCCTTCCCCAGAGATCTTCCTGATGCTCCTGCAAAACGGAAGTGGGGGTTTTTTGCATGTCTGCAAAGGCCCAGCTGAAACGCTGCTGCTGCCGGGCCAACCTCCTCTCCCTGCGGGAGGAGCGGTTCGGGGCCAGAGCTGGCTCGCTGCTCTCGTTCAGACAAGCAAGCCCTCTTGACAGCCGTCTCTGCTGCAGGGACCTGGAGGAGTTTCCAGCCTGCCTGCTCCACTGCCTGCCAGACTTCTCCTTGCACGTGCTTACTCATTTGCTTGACCAGCAAGACACGTTTCCGTTTGGGTTTAAAAGTGCTGCACAGAGGAAATGAAGGAATTTGTTTAGAAGAGCATGCCCTACTCCATCTGCGTGGCCGCCGCACATTTTGTGGGAACAATGGTAGAACTGGAAACATGGGTGCCACCAAGCCTTGAGTGGTTGGAGGAAACAGTCGGGAAGCCAGCAAAGATGCCTAACCAACCACTCCTGCACAGATGCGAAAGTGACCTTTGGCTGCTGCACCACCCCAGTGCCACCACCCTGCAAGGACTGTCCCCAGGCTCCAGGGGAATGTGCCACTGACAGCAGGGCTGGGGAATAAAGAAATCCTTAAGCCTACCTATATTTCCCTTCCTCCTCCGGACCTGGACTGGGAACTCCACAGCAATATTCACGGGTCAGGGCGGTTTCCCTGTTAATAAAAGGTGCCCTCAAAATCAAACTCAAAGCTTTTGATTTCTTCAGTCTACATTGCAAACTAACAAAGGGGACAATAATAATTAACCCTGCATCCTAAATGTTAATTACAAAGGTGTAGGTCTGATAGTAAAAAGTTCATTTCTAGTGAACTTTAATTAACCTTGAAGCCTAGTCTTATTTTACTTCAAGACTTATTACTAGACAACAGAAAAATTTCAGATATTTAGATTTGAAACACAAATGTAGTCTAAGGATAGATGAGCTACAGGTAAAGGAGTCATCTATTTCACACAAAAATATTTTGCTTGAATACACAGTTATCTCGTTTTACTGAGTATTTTTGAGTTATTATTATTTACTAATTCTACTAATACTTTATTACACATAGGACAGCTCTTGGGAGCATCATACATGACCAGACTGTTGTAAATATATTTAAATCCCATGTATATGCCTTCACCTAGGGGGCAGCTCAGGTTAATCAAATGCTGATTGAGTGTTCAGTTTGGCTGAACACTCCAGACTGGTCTACATTCATCACTGCCAGGGTGAAAATTCATGTTGCTCTCACTAGTTGTTTCCTAATCGGTTGTCTGTTCAATTCACTTGATTGCTCCCTCTGACCATCCTATGGCTGGCTGCTTCCTTTGCCTCCCAAGCACACTAATTGACCTCTTAGTCAAAATATTCCAGGTTTCAGTGCTCTGCTCACAGCTAATTGCACCCTAACAGATAATTTTGGCTGAGCATTCAATGTGTATTTCCAATACAGGCACTGAGAACAGTGTCTTAGGAGGCATTTTAATTAGAGTATTAGTGGAAGTAATCTGTATGAAGGCACCGCATGTGGTCACATGATCACGCACTAGCTGGCCAGACAGGCACAGCAATTAACTTATGGGTCTATCCAAGAGTTTGGGCAGGGGGTGCAATTCGGCCCATGTAAGTAATCTCAGTTAGCTCAAATAGCACCTTATCAACCCAGTTCTGTCCTGTCCTGTGCCAAACTAGCATCCATTCACAGAAAATTGTTGACCTCTCAAGTCAGCTCTCCCAGTTACCAAAATTAGGATCTGTTAGAAGAACTCCACCATGTTGCCCATGGCTGGTGGAGAGAAGTTAACTCCAGCACCTCAGCTGACCACTGCTGTGTGACATTCACACAGGGACACGTGCTCTTCAGAAATGCCATCTAAAATGAGAGCTATTAGGAGTCAGTGAGATCTGGTTTAGCCTATAATTTAAAAGTAGGGTGTCAAGTAGTCGCTCAGTTGTCATTAAACATTAAAATAATACTGTGTGTACAATTAGCACAAACAGCAGAGAGCAATTTGAATATTGCTTGGAAACTTATCTTTGTCAAGAAAAGTATGTGTTGTCAGAAGACAGGAATTAATTTGGAAAAGTGCATTCTAGTCAACACTTTGTTGCTATTATGTGCTGTTAGAGTAAATTAAGCACCATATCAAGTTTACTTGAGATTGTTAAAGGCTTGCTTGCTACCACAAAATTAGTTTCTTAAGACTAGCCATCTCTGAAAAATTCAGCATGTAAAACCAGCAAGCAGTTTACTTACTGAAAAAAATGTAATGTCATCTATATTTAGAGATTTATCTAGGTTTTTGTTATGGATCTATTTTTAAAGGCATACGGTTTTGCATATACAATCTTATTCCAGATGACTCTCCAGAACTGGGAAGCACATCAGTCTATGTGCTTAGGAAGTATGAAAACTCAAAATCTGAAAAGCATTATTTCTGTGGAGCTTTCCCAAGAGATCGCCTTGCACTATTCTGCACCTAGTGTAAGCCCAGAGACTCCACCTGCATACTCAAAGATGGAGCTACCTGAAGCCCTCCCTGCACTGCAATGCCTTCCCTGGGGCAGGCAGCCATGCAGCCAGCCCGGCGCAAGAAGAGTCAACATCTCTCTGCAAATTCAAGGAAACACAACAGAGGACTGAAAAGGATCTGTGCTGTGCATACTTCTGCAAATGCAAAGGTTTGGGCCCTTGGGTTTGCTAGATAAGATTGATATAAACTTCAACTTGTCTGTGGGGTCCCTTCATCAGCTATAAACAGGGCTCTGTACTCCCTGACAAATGGGACTTCAAATCCTCAGCAAGGATCCTTTGTTTCTATAGCTCTTTCATGAAACGCAATGGTAATTCTGCAGGGATTTGAGTTACATTTAAAAAATGATGCTTTTGTTGATTCTTATATTAGGGCAGAGGCAAAGCTTGGTGGGGCTACCAGTTTGAAG